CTTGAGGAACAAACTACAGGGTTCATATGTGAGAGATCTGTGGGGTGTGGACCCCCACAGCTGAGGCCCTCCACCATGCTGGCTCCACAGAGGATACTACCCAGTCCCTGAGACAAGGAAAGCAATTTGGCCACTAAACCCATCAGAACAAATAACTCTCCTACCTCCTTCTCTCTACTCAGCTTCTTGGTACCACTTGCTAATTTGTGGGGAATGCAATTTTAATAAACAAGTTGGAGTATACTTTTACTTGTCACAGTGTGATCAAAACTATGTTTCAAATGCTTCAAGCTGGGCACTGGTAACTCACACCTGTAATCCTAGCTATTCAGGAGGCTAAGATCTGTGGATCGAAGCCAGCATGGGCAGAAAAGTCTTGAGACTTTTGCCTCTAATTAACCAGAAAAAACCTAAAGTAGAGGAGTGGTAGAGTGTCAGCTTTGAGCAAAAAGCCAAAATAGAGTGTGAGGCCCTGAGTTCAAGCCTTAGTAATAGCACAAGTGTGCATGCATGCATCCCCCCCCCCCGCCACACACATACAAATACGCACAGCTTCAGACTCTAGGATTTTTTTTTTCCTTTTCAGAAAATATAGTCTATTGTCTTTCCCTGCCTGCTCAGAGGACCTCTACAGCAGATGGGATTTCTTTTTGCCTGAGGGTCAGGCCAAGAATTGGGAGCAGAGGCTGACCAGGCATCATGAGGAGGCAGGAATAGTTCAAGCCCATTAGCATCCACTCTCTTCATCAACCTTATCACCAAAAATGGATTTGTGGCATAGGTAGTCAAAGACAGCAACATTGTCTGGACCTCTATAGAGAAACAGGACCAAGATCTGGCCCAAAGGGATGAAAGAAAAAACTGGAGGGCTGGGAAGTTGGCTCAGTGGTAGAGCGCTTGCCTTGCATGCCTGAGGCCCTGGGTTTGATTCCTCAGCACCACATTAGCAAAAAGAAAAAAGCCGGAAGTGGCGCTGTGGCTCAAGTGGTAGAGTGCTAGCCTTGAGCTGAAGAGCTGAGGGACAGCGCCCAGGCCCAGAGTTCAGGCCCCACGACTGGACCCCAAAAAAAAAAAGAAAAGAAAAGAAAAAACTGGATAACATCTTTGAGAAAATCTTTAAAAAGTGATTATTTCAGTTGGACACTTGTAATCAGCTTGTAATCCGAGCTACTTGAGAGGCTGAGAATGGGAGTATCATAGCGCAAGAAGACACTGAACAGAACAGTTAGTGAGACTCCTCAAACCGTAGCTGGGTACAGTAATGCCCCTGTCATCCCAAGCTATGTGGGAGGCTGAGAAGAGAAGAGTCCCCAAGATTCTGTGTTCACAAAGGGAAGTTGGTCATGGTGTCAAGCACCTGTGAGCCTAGTAACAGACAACAGGAAACCTAAAGTAGGTAGACTGTATCTCAGGTACATACTGAATGAAAAGCAAGACCCTGTCCAAAAAATAATTAGTGAAAAGTAAGGCTAGAGGTGTGGCTCAGTAGCATTGTGATAGTTTAGCAAGTATAAAGCCCTGAGTTCAAGTCCCCTGTGTCACCCAAATAAACAAACAAATAAAAGTTTCCTTCTGACCTCCCTTTTTCTTGCTTACTGATATAGAAGTCCCAAACTGAAACTGGAACAGTAGAATAACTGGAGGAGTTTGTACATAAAGATTCAAACTCCTTCCTTGAGTCTTTTTCCTTTTTTACTTCTACCATTAAAAAAAGTCTGCTTGTTTAATCACTATTTATAGTTGAACATATTTCCTAACTGCAAACACACACACACACACACACACACACACTCTACATGGTCACCCAGAGGGCCCATCATTGAGGAGTAAGAATAAGTTTCAGGAGTTGTAACCACAGAATACTTCAAGTGAAAAACAGAGCACTAACACAGCATCAATCCAGCTGCACTGAGACAAATTCCAACTTAGAGGCTGCAATTAAAAGAACAGAAAAGACAACATCCCAAACCAAATTACCAGTTTTGTTGCCTGGAGAGGTGTTTTGTTGTGACCCAGAGGACTGATTTGAGAGCTATACAAATTGAGCAAAGAGTATTTTAGGAAAAAAAATCATTCTTGAAGGAACGTAGCCTCCGGGCCATACTGAGTGGAATGAAAATGGAGGCCCAGAGTGGGAAAGTTCAAGAGGCTCACTCTGGTTTTCCAATCTCATGGGCCTCAGGGAAGAAGAGCAAGCCATGGGAGCTCTTTCCTCACTATCACTAATGGTTCCTAATAATGAAGAGGGCAATATTGGGCCTCTAGTTGGCTGAGAGGATCAGAAATTGCTTAGTGCAGTCAAACTAATAACTTAATATAATTGGACACTAAATTGCAATGCTAGATACACAGCCTCCCCCACAGCCTCTAATTGCCAAGGAAAATCAAGCTGGAACTTCAATAAATAGAATAATCCAATTAAGTATCTCTCCTATTGGGAACTATTTAGAATCGAGGGTTTAACAGGATAGTGAGATAGGGCAGAAGAGACCAGTATTAACTAACTCAAGAAAATTAAGACTCTTATTGTAAGACTTTTTTTATTGTAAAATGTGTTCAATCTATCTAAATGACTGAGTCTTGATGTCATGATTTGAACCACCATAAATTTTTCTTCAACATGTGCTATCATTGCTCACAAATTCTTTTACTTGTATTTTAAACTAAATATAAGCACCTTTTGTGTTCAAAATATCTTCAAAAACAAACTCAAAGACCAATGGAATAGAATAGAAGATCCAGAAATAAAACCACATGCCTACAGTCAGCCAATATTTGACAAAGGAGCCAAAGACATACAGTGGAAGAAACATAGTTTCTTCAACTGCTGGGAAAACTGGGAGGCCACATGCAGAAAACTAAAAGTGGACCCCAGCCTATCACCATGCACCAACAGCAACTCAAAATGGATTAAAGACCTTAACATCAAATCTGAATCTCTGAAACTACTTCAGGACAGAATAGGAGAGACACTTGAACTTATAGGCACAGGCAGGAACTTCCTGAACAGAGTCCCAGGGTTACAACAAATTGGAAAGAGACTTGACAAATGGGACTGCCTTAAAATAAAAAGTTTGTGCACAGCTAAAGCTATAGCAACCAAGCTAGAAAGACAACCAACTGGGAAAAATATTTAACAGCAATATATCAGACAAGGGGTTAATATCCAGTATATACAGGGAACTCAAGAAACTAATCCCTCTCAAACCTAGCAAACCAATTACTAAATGGGCAAGGGAACTAAAGAAAGACTTCTCAGAAGAAGAGATAAAAATGGCAAAGAAGCACATGAGGAAATGTTCACCATCCCCAGTTGCGAAGGAAATGCAAATAAAGACAACCCTGAGATACCACCTTACCCTAGTCAGAATGGCCCACATCCTCAAGTCAGCCAATGGACAAATGCTGGAGGGGATGAGGAGAAAGAGGAACCCTATTACACTGCTGGTAGGAATGTACACTTATACAACCACTTTGGAAAGCAGTCTGGAGGGTCCTCAGAAAGCTAAATATTGACCTCCTTTATGATCTAGCCATATCACTTCTAGGCATCTATCCTGAACAACAGGAACCAGTATACAAGGACACGTGTACCTCCATGTTTATTGCAACACTGTTCATAATAGCTAGGATATGGAAACAAAACAGATGTCTCACCACAGATGAATGGATCCAAAAATTGTGGTATCTATACACAATGGAATATTATGCAGCCATTAGAAAGGACAAAATAATGGCATTTGCAAGGAAATGGATAGAGCTAGAAGAAATCATGTTGAGCAAGGTAAGCCAAGAGCAAAGAGACAAACGGCACATGGCCTCCCTGATAAGTGGATGTTAAATCCAAAATATAAGGTGATATGACAAATTAACAAGACTTAAGAAAAAAAGGACTTCCACTCATCTGGTCGAATCACTACTAAATAACCCCAAGCTGCTGATCACATGTATGGTATATATGTGCACACTGGAGGGAAACCAGGAGGACGGACACAGAACTAGAGGGAATCAGGGAAAAACATACAACAGTGGGACCCATCAGCTGCACTGGACATTGATCAAAATGAACTAAGCAACTCAATGGCAGTGATGGGAGGGAGGGAACAAGTGGGAAAGAAGAAACAGCTGATGCTATGCAAAACAAAAGAAATGTACATATCACCCAATGCAGAAGAAATAACTGTATTGCAAAGCTCATAGAACTCATAAATATTAGAGACCACAATAGACAATTTGCCCCATGAAAGTTAGAATGTGCTTGTGACTTTAACTAAGCATCACTATCCCAAAATACTGTGAAATTTGGGAAATTATGTAATCACTTAATCACAATAAAGAATTTGAAAAACAAACAAACAACCCCCCCCAAATCCTAGTCATCTTTTTACCATATGGAATGATCACCTAGAAGTCAGAAATTGAACTACCAAAAAATAGACTGATAAAAATGCCTACCATTCCTTTTAACTATCTTTAGGTAGAGAGGCGATAGATAAATTGCCCAGTTACAGCTTAGCTTGGACTGTTAAATATATATTTTTGAGGGGTTTGGTTGGAAATGGATAGTCCCTCTATTTGCCTGTAAAGACAACAGTTTAGGGAAGAAATTTGCCATGAGTTAAGTTGGAGCAACCCCACCATAGCAAGAACTGGGCACCAAGCTTTCTGTTAGTCTGCAGACAGCATTGGACAGGCATTGTTCTGCAAATGAGTTAGTGGGATTCCTGAAGGTGTTTCTGGAAGCATCTGGAAGCAGCTGATAAAGCTCAGGGCACATCCTTCAGGCTGAATCTTACCAGGAAAAGAGTGATGTATCTGGCATAGAAATCAAAGTACAATCAACTTCTACCCTGTAGAGCTTCCTGTATCACACTCTTTGGCCAGAACCCCTCTGGTGATTTCTACTGACTACTAAAGCATGTGCTACAAAGATGGCCTCCCAGAACTGACCCCTGGGGGGAACTGAAGCCAATGTGGAAGGATATTTGAAAGGTACTTACTGCTGGTTGAGGACAAGTGGCTGTAGTCAGACCTGAAATAAAAGATGGTAGTGTCAGAAGGATTATACATCATTTTTTCTTTATTCAAATGATTCAGTCAAGCTATAAGTTTAGTGAGTGGTGAGTTGCATTTAATGCATAAAGAAATAGTACCAACTAAAAACTATAGTGTAAAGGCTTGTTTTATGTTTGTTTATGTTTTTTGTTTGAATTGCAACAGCAAAAATTTCCAAGGCATTGTAGAACGGGCATCCTTCACATGGGTCTGTGAATCCTGCTGGGAATCTGGAAAACCATCTAAATATGCTGGTAAAGTGTCCAATGATTATTCACTTTTCTGAGGAGAAAAGGGCCAAGAATTCAATGACATCTCTACTCCCTAGAAGGTTTAAGCCCATGCCAATGAGAATCCTTCAAGTTTCACAGGGCACTTGGGGAAAGTTTCCTGCTGATACAGCTGAAGATCCCAGCCTGGGTGGGGGTGGGGGTGGGGAAGACCCTGGGTCCTTTAGTGCATCCCCATGTCAGGTACAGCTGATCAGCGGGACCTAAAGGCACTAGCCTTTTCCCTTGCCTTCAGTTCTACTATGAAGAAATCCTGCTGGGCTTAAGAGTAACAAGATATGGGCTGTGATGGGCAACATGGAGAGGGCTCCCGTGAAATGACCCCATGTGGATTTTAGGCTGAAGTCAGCTGTTGGCACTCAACTGCTCTGGTACTCTGGGCCAAGGACCTGCCCAGCATAATCTCTGCTAAGTTCCTGCCCTCTGAGCCTGGCCATTAAGACTTCCCCTTCTGGCAGAGTTTGGTGTAGAAGTGATTTATTTTCTCCCCCTGGGTCTCCAAAGTCATTCTCAGCAGGAAATTAATCACTTAGGCATGTAGGGATTTATTCCGCTCTGGTAGTTAGGGAATGCAGTTATGCAAATAAACTGCTTAATTATGTTTAATTTTTATAGATATACACTCCTTAGACTCAAGTTGCCTTTCTTGAATCATCCAATTTTCACTCCATTGAGCTCCTTACCACATTAAAAAGTACATTCAGAACAAAACAAAACAAACAAACAACAACAAAACCCCCACAAGTGTCTCATATTAGCTAAAACAATCTATAGCACACAGAGCAAATGATACTTTGATGTACTGGTAGAGGAACAAAATGGAAGAAAACTAGCAGGTGGTTTTCTCTTTCTCAAATGAAATATGTTAGTAGCCTTAGAACTCTTTAATTTTAAAACTGGGAAGAGACACAATCACCATATTCCTTTGCATATCCCTTTATAGATTAGAAGCTTCATTTGCATCCATCTAACTCAATTTTTTCTTTTTACTAGTTGAGAAGCAAAAGTGATACCATTGGAAAGGACCAGGAGGTGAGGAATGGTAAGGGTTTTCACTCAGTACACAGGATGGGCATCCAGGAAGGAGCTAGAAAGTAGGATGGGCTGGCCAGGGAATGGTACCTCCGCCAGCTGGCAGAGAAGAAAGCATCAAGCATCAGTAACATTCTGAAGCCCAGGATTTCAGCACCCAACCCTGGCACATAAAATTCTTTCTGGAACCAGACCAAGGATAACTAAACTTTGGTTCAACACTTAGAAATGTAACTATATAAATGCCCAACAAACATCCACTGTGGTGAATGTAACAGCAACACGATTCCATTACAATATGATCATCTTAAAATGGCCAGACTTTCAAGAGATTACCCAACCATCCAAATAAAACATATAATAAGAATGTGTAATGTTACTATTTCTCTTAGGTTAAAAATGTGTAAGTCTTTTCAGCTAGGACTTTCCAAATCCTCCAGAAGCAGATGGGATTCACACATGCAGGCATTTGAAAGCTCCGCATAAGATGGATATGTATGCAGAATGAAATGTACACTGGAAACATAGTTTAAAAATCTTGAAGTGAAATGTAGTATTTTAGGGTAGGTGCTAACATAATTAATGCTTTTCTACCAGTTTCTCTCCCCACCCCCCAACTCAAATCCCCTCAACCTCTTGAGATTAAAGGTACTGCCTGGTTGGTCCTTCCAAATGATCAGTCTTCAAAAGTCACTCCAGTTAGGAGATGGGGAAAAACCAGTTGTTTAAGGATACAGGTGGACCTGTTGCAACAATGAGAAGTACAAGTTGTCATGTCCAAAACGAGCTTTACAACGTCGGTGCGGGGGGTGGGGGGCCGGGGAGGAGGGGGAAGGACAAGGATTGGGATTGGGAGGGAGGGGGGAGGCTGGGAAGTGATGTGAAGGGTAAACCAAAAGAGGAGGCTACAATGCTTGGTAAGAAATGTACGCATTATCCTGCCCATGTAATTGTAACCCCTCTGTACAGTATGTTCACAAATAAAATTAAATTAAATTAAAAAAAAAGTCACTCCAGTCTCCTCTGAATTCCTTTTCCATTCAGCATCCAATCTTGACAAAGCACAAATCTGATTATGTGTCCCTCTGGATGAAATTCAAGCTTGCTAGCTAAAACACAAGCTCCCCTCTTGATGACTGATATCTATGGCCTGCTCTGCAGCCCAGCCTCCAGCCTTGTTTGACACAGAGACAGAACTCCAACAGAAAGATGAGTCACCCGCACATTGTCCCCAGCATCTGGTCCTGAGTTTATGTAATTTGCACACAGTTGCCATAATGACAAGAGATCTAATTCCTAACTATTCTTTTCATGGTACACCATTTCAATGTGTGGCTCCAGAAATTGATAATTATATGAAGTGATGTGCCACGATTCATTCAACCACTTCCATTGTGTGCACGGTATGACTGTTCCTGATTGCTCACTGTTACAAAGTGCATGGGAATGAGATAGTTGCACATACAGTTTTACATCTGCTTTCTTGTCCTTAGAAAAATTACCAGGAGTGATAATACAGGATGAAGAGAAATATGCCACTTTTATACTTCTTAAAAATATTCCAAACAAGCCAGTAGCAAGCTTGCTCTTAGCTACTCAGGAGGCTGAGGATTGTAGTTTGAAGCCAGCCTGGAAGGAAATGCCATGACATTATCTCCAATAATAATAATTTAAAAAACACAAAAAAACTACTCAATTAAGGTAAAATGGTTTGTGGTTCCTTGGAAATGCCACGCTCTTTGTATTCTCCATCACAGTGTAGCTCAGTGTAGTTCAGAGGTCTTTGTGTTCACACTTTAAAACTAGCTAAATGACCTCATCTTTCAAGCTTGAATTTATTTTTATTTTTAATTTTATTTTATACAGTGTGTAGCTAATTCCATGTTCTCTACATTTAGATGTATACACAATATAAATCTGTCAATTCTGTAAGTAATTCTTATAATTATGATGTAACTCTTTACTTCCTTAAAAATTCAAAACAAAACAAAAAAACCCAAAACAACAACAAAAAGACCTACCCAGGAAAATCCAGAAGTGGTTCTATGGTTCAAAGTGGTAGAGTACTAGCTGCGAAAGAAGCTCAAGGACAGTGTCTAGGCCCTGAGTTCAAGCCCCGAGACTAGCAAAAAAAATACACACACACACACACACATGTATATTCTAAACAATCACCAAAGATTATCTACTGAAAACATTACCAGTGATAGACAAACTGTGAAGTTTTAAACAATTGTGTCTGCACAAATACCTTTAAGAACCATTAACTATTTCAGAGAACAATCAGATATTGATCAGGGTTTTCTGAGGGAGTTTGTATTCATAGCCTTTTTAGGGTCACAAGAAATAGCAGCTGGGTACCTGCCTCATGATTTCTACTTATTGGCCTTATCTCATACAAATTTACCTGGTGGGCTTTTCATATGACATTCAAGCCTGCCAAAATAAAGCATAAATGGAAAGGTAAATTTATTAATTTTTAAATGCAAGAACCTTTTAATTAAGCATGCAGATGAGCAGTATAAGGATTTTCTATTCTCACACATCTGGCACACACAAAGACACATTTGCAAATATTGTATTTATTTAATATTTATGTCAAAAAGTTAGATGTAGCCCTTTGATTATATTTTTTATATTATATATAACGTCATTCTGTAACTAGAACTGTTAACCCCTTTTAGTGGTTACTGTCTTGCCAATTTATACATACACTCGTTATATAAACTGAAAGTCTTTTGAAATTCTCTTTTCTGGGAACTGTGGCATTGATGTCAAATTGATGTTAATGTTTCTGCATCAGCCCTGATCTGTCAACTCCATGAATTCAGGGTGCACTGGCTCCACATTGAGAATGAGTTAAATACAGTGCCAGTAGAACATCTTAACTTCTAAGACTTCCCGATCCCTGCACCACACCCCCTAGCCCCCCGCCCTTCTTTTTGTTTCTTTTTCTTGTTGGTTGTCCTGGTGCTCTACTGCTTTGAGCCACAGTGCCACTTCAGGTTTTCTGGTGGTTAGTTGGAGATAAGAGTCTCACAGACTATTCTGCCCAGGCTGGCTTTGAATTGCCATCCTTAGCTCTCAGTCTCCTGAGTAGTGCCTGGATCCCACTTTCTTTTTCAACTTTACAAAACTGTCCCTTTAAAATCCATTCCCCTAGCTTAAACTCTCAGTCCATAATTTTTTTCCCCATCTTTGAAGTCACAGAGAAGTACTGGTTTAAGGCTACCCAAGGTCTCAAGAAATGGCCTGACCCCGCTATGAGTTGGGAGCTCTGTGGCAGTTGACACAGGAAGCAGTCCATGAATGAGGGCTGAGACACTGATGAAGTCATTCCGCCAGGTCTGGTCATGTGGGAGAATGCAGCTGAGAGGCCAAATCTTGGAGAGTCACTAATGAAACAGGCATGGCAAGGTCTTGGCTTTTGTTCAGATTGACAAGGACTTGCCAGCCTTCTATTAAGGGGTTCTATTTCTTAAGCTAGGTCACCACTGGCAGCTGCTGACTTGCCAGCTTCTTCCATCTGAAAGCACAGAAAAGCAGGAAGCTTGCTTTCAGTAGATTGGGAAAACGGTAGTTTCAAAATAACACTCACTGTCATCATACAACACTCCCTGATTCTTAGCCTAGGCCAGGCAGCAAAGACAGCGTT